CCCGAGAGGCACATCTGTTGAGCCTCTTACTCTAGCTGACTCCTCCCCTCCAATACAGGCCCCATGCCCACCAGGGGACTCCCTCACCCAGTCTTGGGGAGTACTCTTTCTTCTGACTAGAGTACTTCTGCCCTGGGGAAGCTACTTTCAGATTGGCCAGTGGGCCCTCTGGTTCCAGAAAACTTCCCAAAGCATGATCCCTCTTGGAGAAAGACCACCTCTAGGACCGACAGGCTTGCCAGGTATCCCAGGCCACCAGCCTGATGCTAGGAACTCACTGTGGAAATTCTGGGAGCAGGAAGAGAGACAGATAACATGTTCTGCATCTTAGGTTGGAAACACATTTGCATCTCCATGTGACGTGGCCTCCAGTGAGCAGAATTTGTAAAGGAAACAAGGAGCACCGGCTGGGGCTATAGCTCAGTGCTGGCTCAGCACCTGCAAGGTCACAGGGACAAGGGCTTTAAAAAAAAAAGCATGTTTTTGACAGGCTAAATAAATAAATAAATAAATAGCCCAGGCTAGCCTCTAACCTGCCGTCCTGCCAACAACCACTCTGCTAGTTCTGGGTTCACATGCATGAGCATGGGACACCCCAGTGGGGGAAAAAAAAAACCAAAAACCTTTCAGTGGGAAAAAGGGGCCAGAACAGGAGAAAACTTAATGTCTCCAGGGGCGATCTCAGATATCTGTGACCTTCTCTGTCCAGATCTCACCTTCACTGATGCAGCTGTTGAAGAATGGGCGTGGTGTTGGCCTAGCCAGATCCTTAGCTCAGGCACTGTTTTCTCAAGGCTCCCAGATGTCACAGCCGCCTACCTCAATGGTGTATTTTGTTTGTTTGAGTTTCGAGACAGGATCATGTCCAGTAGCCTGAGTTTGCAGTGCTTTCTCCACTTGCTGAATGCTGGGATTATAAACGTGCACCTTATGCCTGGCTATCAGCAGACTCAAGTGCCCTACCCCAGCCTTCCCAAGGGTATTACAGACCAGATTCCCCCAAATCAACAGAACTAACTACTTTCCCCAGCATGTTTTCCATCTCTTTGCTAACTCCAGAATCAGTCTTCAGGACACACCCATGAAGCAGGTCCTAGGGAGAGCCAACTCTGATCCCCAGGTCCCGGAAAGCCAGCCTCCTGGTTCCCAGATCTAAGTTGTGTCTTCTCCTGCCCACTCAAGTCTGAGCCTTGGCTTCTCCACTCCAATCATCCCCACACTGACACGTCTGTGGGTTCCAGATCGCAAGTGTCACATCTCAAAGCCAGTTGGTGAGGGAGCCTGGGAGGGATAACCTCATCCGCTCCAGATCTGACTCTATGAGGCAGAGCCTGAGAGACCCGGTGCCCGCGAGGGTGGGAGAGAAGACTGGTCTCCCACCAAGCAGCGGAAGAAGACCGTGGCTCGCCCAGGCCCGGCCGTGGGGGGAAGGGAGGAGCTGAGAGCAGATGGCAGCAATTACAGCTCGGACCCTCCCCCGCCTGCAGCCCCAGGCCAGAAGATCGGCTTCGCCGGCTCTGCTGACTCTGAGGACCTGAGGGGCGGGAAGCACAGGGGCACCGGCGTTCCAGCTTAGAAGCAAGGGTATGAGTGTCAGGTTGGAACAACTCTTTCTCCAGGGACAGCGCCGGGAGATCCCCTGTGGACCCGGGAGGACCCATCCTCGCAGAGCTCCCAGCACCCGCAGTGCCTCAAAGGTCCGAAGATTTATTTGCAGGCTGGAGAGAAGGAAGCTACATGACTGTGCGGGTTGTGAGCTAATCAAGGAGGCAGAGGGTGAATGGTGTCCAAAATTTAATCCTTGGGACTTGGCAGGCAACTCGTCCTGGAGGAGAAAGACAAAGGGCACCTTCCTCACAAAAGCAAGGCTGCTTTTAACCTGCTGATTAGAAAAGAGAGTAGATGGTTGGACCCTGTGTTAGGGGCAGACTTAAAGAGAGCAGGATTCCAGAAGCTCAGAACAGAAAACGCTGAATCACTTGGCTCCTTGGTCCTTATTGAATTTCCGTCGCTTCTTGGCCTGAGCCTTGTCCCTGTGACTTGAAGACGTAGATCAGCGCCTGATCCCAGATTTGTTGTACAACTGAAAAAGCTCTCAGTTCTCCAGGATCAGTTCGCATAGCAACAAAGAGACGTTTAAAAACACTAATCCAGAAAAAACGAGGCCACATGCCTTGTTCTCTCTGCTTGCCACCAACATGCTCCCCTCAGAAGAAAGCCCAGGTGTTTTCCTCAGCACCCCACATTTCCCCCCCCCCCCCCCCCGCCCCGGCCTCCACACTCACTGCTTACTGCTGAATTTGACAGACTTGAGCTGACTGGCTCCTTCCGCTGGTCCCCTCTGCTGTGCAGAGGCAACCCATCCACTGGCTCTGCCGCGGTTATAATTGCCACTTAACCTCGCATATCTGTTCCACAGGATACACCAGTTCTGTAACTATACTCCTCAGTCACTTGCTTGGCAGTCACAGACTCAGCTCCATGACCTTGTCTGGCTCGTTATCTGCTAGGGCAACAGAGTAAACCTTGGAGACACTCCACACATAGTCTGAACATTTAACAAATGGAGACATCCCTGAATACCAAACTGGATGCTGCTCCATTCGGTCACCTCCACCCAAAAAGGCTTCTCCCTGAGAGGAATTAGTTGCAAGCACCTGTATACACCATGTTCCCAGAGACACCTTACCTGAGTCGTCTGCTCTAATTGAGTCCAGACTCAGTGCAAGGCATTATTCAGCACCTAGGGTGACTTAGCTAATTAACTTCACAAACCATCCTATAAAGTAGACAGTAATATGTCATCATCTTCCAGGCTGACATACCCTGTACATCCAGACCCATCAAAGAACAAAGTTACTCAACTAATGCAAGCATGTTGCAAGCCCTGGATTCAGATCACTACCACACAACAAGTGTGGGGTGGGCTACTAAAGACTGAGCCTGGGATAGTTCATAACTATTGCAGGGAGCTGAAACAGAACAGGATATCAGGGAAGAGCCTGGACAGTGAGGCGGGGTGCAGGATAATCTTGTCAGGAGTAAAGGAAAGCACAGTGATGGTGGTGCACACCTTTCATCTCAGCACTCTGTATTAGGGTTCTGTAGAGCAGTGGTCCTCAACCTTCCTAACGCTGTGACCCTTTAATACAGTTCCTCATGTTGTGGTGACCCCGAACCATTTTCATTGCTGCTTCGTAACTATAATTTTGCTACTGTTATGTATCGCAATGTGAATATCTGTGTTTTCCAATAGTCTGAGGTGACTCCTGTAAAATGGTCATTTGATCCCCAAAGGGGATGTGACCCACAGGTTGAGAACTGCTGTTCTAGAGGAACAGAACTTGTAAAATGACATATATATATATATATATATATATATATTCATATGAATATATATATTCATATGAATATATATATTCATATGAA